TATAAGTGGGTCAGGCAATATAAGTGGGTCAGGCAATATAAGTGGGTCAGGCAATATAAGTGGGTCAGGCAATATAAGTGGGTCAGGCAATATAAGTGGGTCAGGCAGTATAAGTGGGTCAGGCAATATAAGTGGGTCAGGCAGTATAAGCTGTCTCTTATACACATCTGCTTGTACGCTTTAGTATGACTCTAATTATAAATTACTTACTCGAAAATCAAAACGAATGCTATTTTAACGATGACCTAAATTTTTAGTGCCACATTAACAAAAAGCAGGCAAAAGACGTTTGTATGTTATGCAATCACTGTAATGTTTTTATGACCTTATTTCAGATCTCACCGTCACAATTAGCAGGTTAGTTTATCATGTGACCTTTGCTGCAATAATAATAATGTTGAAGAATTTGATGACGGGATTGAAAGTCGTGGGACTTTCATCCATGACTTAATTATGAAATTCAACTAGTGAATGTAATCAAATATGTCATGGGATTATAATCGAACGGAGCAGGTAATTCGAGATCATTAATATACCTACATATTGTATCCAATTAATGAACCATTTTTAAACAATATCGCACGGGAAACGAAAGCAAGCTACAATATTTCAATCAACTTTATGTCCGGGCGGTTGTGTCAACTGAGAATCTTAAAAACTTCCTTCGTGTGGTCAACTTCTTTGTGGTTGAGGGGTTCCTTAGGGCTGGTCCATAGGAACCATACGAACCTCCTTATGGTTGAGGGGTTCCTTAGGGCTGGCCCAGAGGTCAACGATTACTTTTGTTGACATCCATGCTAAATATTCGGGTGACTGATACCCGAGTAAATATAATAGATTAAGTTTTTAAATATCAATATGTTCTGGGATCAATATGTTATAATATATATTAGATCAATACGGGTATGTTATTTCCACCATGAGGCTCGTGATCAGGCCTGTGCAACGCTCACATTTGTTTACATCCATGCTTAATATTATAATGACTGATACCAGAGTGAATATAATAGATAAAATTTTTAAATTTATTAGATCAATATGTTATTATATATATTAGATTAACACCGTATGTTATTATATACGTTACATAGTTGGTTGATGAAGAAGTCCATACATAATTGAGTGACACACGTGCAAAATAAACTCGTGGCTGAAACCTGAGTTAAAGATGATAGATCCATTCAAATGTAGTATGTAAAATAGATAGGAATATATATTGCATAGTTAAATACTTCAATTTTGGAATAAATATCACTCTGCTGCAATAACGATTCATGCGCATCATTAAGCAGAGTTTATAACGACAATAGAATTAGCGACGTACAACTGACAGTTCTTGAGCCCGTTGTTGAACAATAACTGACCGTTCTTGGGCCCGTTGTTGAACAATAACTGACCGTTCTTGGGCCCGTTGTTGAACAATAACTGACCGTTCTTGGGCCCATTGTTGAAGCGCCAGGCGGTGCCAGGTTGTCGCAGGTCCCAACCCACCACCCCGCCCGTCACAGACCCGTACACGACGACGTTGTCGCCACACCCTGGGGACATACGGGCCATCAGGACGCCGGCGAGTAGAGGGCAAAGACATATTGATAGCAAAGACACGTGAATTTTTATATTATAATTTTTGACACGACGTAGGAAAGTGTTCAGGACACTTACTCGTGTCATAGTATACGTGTTCAGAAAATAAATGCCCAGAAATGCCCGTAATGGCTGAAATAAATGCCCAGAATGGCTGGTGATAAAAGAAATAAATGCCCAGAATGGCTGGTGATAAAAGAAATAAATGCCCAGAATGGCTGGTGATAAAAGAAATAAATGCCCAGAATGGCTGGTGATAGTGAAGGATGCGCAGTCGGTATACTAATGCATATAAAAAATAAATTCTAGCATTAAAATGGCTGGCGAATGTGAAGGATCACACCATTTTTCGCACCCGTGTCATAGAAGGCCATGTCGACAGCATAGACGTCCTCCTCCCGGTCCAGCACGCGGTCACACAGCATGCTCAGCTTGTCCAGCCTGCAGTGACACCACAGCATGAGACTTTACACCACTTCAGTACGATCAATATGGTAACTTTTTACAATAAATATTGAATTAAATACTGAGGATATTGCATTAGACACTGAGAATAGATATTCCATTGAACACTGAGAATAGATATTGCAATAATTACTGATAATAGATATTACATTAAATATTGATACTAGACATTGCAACACATCCCCGGCACCTAAAGACATGGATAATAAATATTGCACTAAATACTAACAATAAAATATTGCATTAAATACTGAGAGTACACTGAGAGAAATGGGCGGGTCTGGATGACCCACTTTGATGAGTCAACCGCGTCCGAAAATCGATGCACTTTTTTGACTCACTTACCCCATTTGTGGGTAATACTGACCCATTAAATTTCAAGCATGACTCACTTGTGGCGTTAAATCGCACTGACGCTCAGATGCTAACTACGTATCCATGCTACGGGTGGCGTCATAGGGGATTTGACGTCACAAGTGAGTCATGCCTGGAATTTAATGGGTCAGTATGACCCACAAATGGGGCAAGTGAGTCAAAAAAGTGCATCGATTTTCGGACGCGGTTGACTCATCAAAGTGGGTCATCCAGACCCGCCCATTTCTCTCAGTGTA